GGGAGCCCCGCTCGGCCCCGGCAACCCGCAGAGTCCCACGCGAGCCCAGCCTGGCCTCCCGCACCGGCACCTGCACCAAAGACCATCTCGTAAAACAAAGAGGAGGCAGAGACAGAAATGACGGTTCTCTCAGTGTGTGCTGCAACCTCTAGTTACATACATGGGACGTGTTAGTTAACATGCTGGATGCCTTCATTACCGATTTTTTTTTTATATGGATTTTTTTTGAAAGGTAGAATTCTTTCCCAATGCAAATCTTGTAAAATTTGTTTCCAGCGGGGTATGTGCTTAGCACATCTGTTATTTTGTACAGAAGAGGTTGCAAAGTTGTCACTTTCACCTATAAGAAGCATTTTACCATTGATTTTTTTCAGTTTTAGATATGTGTTTAAGGAACAGGAGAGGGGAAGAGGCTGTTAGAGAAAAGAGTATTTTTACGAACCAATTCTCTGTTCTATTCAAAGTCCACTCACGACATGGCCTTCAGATCCTCACCTTGCTCCCTGACATAAAAGCAATTAATATAAAACATGGTCATCTATTACAGCATAATAAAACTGAACATTTTCCAACTAAGAGGGGGGAAAGGGAAAGACTTAGCTCTTCTAGACCCTACAGAGTCATCTCAAAAACAGTACATGGTGACAACTGCCTGAATGGAAATAGAAAAAGAAAAAAGAAATCAACAAAATGTATCCTTAAAAAAAAAAAAAAAAGGTTGCGTTTTAGTGTTCACAGTTACAGAATTGTCACCCTGGTTTGCTCCTCCTCAATCTATCACAATTTCTCCCCTTCCAGAAGGGACTGCAGGAAAATGACATCGTAAAGACCATCTATACAGAGATGCAAGTTAATGCCTTACGACACAAGTAGTGCCTTTCTGGCACGAAACCATCCTTTGCCCAGCGAAAATCCAAGAGATTTTTGAGTTGTTTATATATCAAATATGTTTTTTTTCCCCTGGATGCAAAAATGCAAAAACCTAGTATAGTAAATCATATTTGTCTTAAAAAACCTCCGTAACAGAAAACTTTTGTATCATCTTTGATTTCATCTTCAGAAAGGAAAAAAGAAAAAAGAAAACTGAGTCACTTTGGTGTTTATGAGAACAGGGAACTAATTTTCCTTTAGACAGCTCTGCCACCACGCTTCAGTCATCCTGTACCACATCAGGGCTAAAGAAGCTGTCAGAAAACCATAGGCTTAATCCAACATGGGGACCGAAGAGAAAGCTGTATTTATTTGGGGTAGGGTGGGAAATGCATATGAAATGTGGATCTGTTTTCCAACCGTCAAGGTAAATTCTGCGCCTGCTTCCAGCTGCTGGGAAAGGCTCGTGATGTTGTACAAGTGACCTCTGCTCGTTCTGGCTCTATGCTGATGCTCATGGAGCAAGAACTTCCTGCGAGCCCGAGAAACTGAGTTCTATGGAACTAATGAAGGAGCAAAAGTAATAAGTTTTAAATTGTTGACCTAACCCACCAGTTTCACTAGCAGACGAGAAAGAGCCAGGACAACTGTAGCTTTACAGCATTGATTCAGAGAGGGAAGACAGAAACCAATACAAATATGCTATTCATACCCAAATAGCACATTCAACTTTGGAAGAAGTGAAGTCATTTCAATGATGGCTGAAAAAACAAGCACTAGAAATCATATTTAAAGGGAACAGGGCATTTGATCTCAGCCAAAGGCATTACCAGACAGGGGTGCAGAGCAGTCAAAGGAACACAGAGAGCATCTCTGAGAGAACAAGCAATTAGATCATCCCCCCACCCCCCAAAATATGCTCCGGTTCAGATTTTTGAGATTACAAAAGGATTTGTCGTTTGCCGAAAGGGTTCCTCTTACATTCTGAAGGGAAAGCACTGGCTGTGAAACCCCACCATCACTGGGCTGGGGGTGTGTGTTGGTGAGGATACCTCCAGTTGTCCTGGCTGGAGAGTCACCAGAGCTAGAAGACTGGCTGCTGCTTCAAATGACACTCACACAAAAGGCTGAAAACCGCGTGCTGCTGTGTCCTCCTTACCTCCTTCTACGCTTTGTGCCCTCTAGGAACTGAGCAGGGGAAGTTGCAATCCATTGCATCTGGGTGTAACCGCAGTTTAACTTGGACCTACTACACTGCTGCCATTTGACAAAAGTGACGCACCTAACGCTTAAGCGCACACCACCGCATCACTCACCTGAGCTAGCCTGATCAAAGTTTGTTTCAATGATCTGAGCGACATACAGTAATTCAGCAGGCACGTACTCAGGTGCCGGTCAGCCAGTAAACTCCAGGCTAAGTCAGTCTTGTAGCAAGTAAATTTACAGTACAGTACGTGAGAGTATACATTGACTAAGTTATTGCCTAAGGCTCCGGCGAGCTGCATTCCCAGCTCAGGAGCCAGCAATGGCACAGGACTGCGTTGCCACCTTGGAATGTACAATTGCTTGGTCTGAGCACCACCAGGAGCCTCCTGTGCAGGACGGAGACCGAGCCCCCAGCCCAGCTCTGCCGCCCGGGGCCAGCTGTGCCTCGGCGGTGCCTGGGCGAAGCACGTGAGTTGGGTCAAACCAGAAAGGATCCCCGTGAATAGGCAGCGCGGGACCTACCCAGAGCAGCTGCGATCCTTGCACGAACCGTATGTGGTGCTGATATGAAATATTATAAATTGATTAATTATTCAGTTAAAATAAGAGTGTTCTCTCTTGCTCTGGCTCCATGGATCAGGACACCACCTACAGTTTTAAGAATCATTGCGTATTTGTATTGTTTAAGTGAACGACCACCTCTTCCCTCCCTCTTTGTACCTCCTCTCTTTTCCCGTCCCCTTCCCGCTCCTTCCTCTGCCCTTGCCCTGTGCTGCTTGCTGTTCTGTTAAGTATGAGATCAGGCAAACCCCAAAGGCCAGTTTACATTTTTATGTTTTGTTTTTGCAGATCTCCATCACAGATGGAATTTTTGCTGGTCATTTCTTGGAACCAATCCATTAGAAGGACAAACCAAAAGAAGAGAGGGCAGTGAGAACAAACCCCATGACAGACGGAGGAAAGAAGAATCAATAAACAAGCAGAAATCAGTTTTCCACCGGAGTGGGATTTGCTATGGGCTGGCTCACAATAACTTGCACCACGTAGTCCTTTGGGATTTTCAGCTCCTCCAGTTTCATTTTGTCTGCCAGCGGCCTGCCTGAGAAGAACCAGCGCTGGCTGCCCGGCTCCACTCCCTCCACGGCGTGCAGCCGCCTCTTCATGTGGTACACCGTGTCCATGCTGCGGACCATGAGTTTGAGGTCTTTGCCTGTGGACAGGCGCAAACGAAGCTGGCATTCATGCCCTGAATTGGGTGGGGGATCAGGAATATCCAGAGTCTCCAGGTCGCCCTTCTCCTCTATCATGTTGATAGGTGGGGCGAGGCAGTAGACGGGAAGCTGGTACCGGTTGCCCAGTTCATCGTAACACTCTGTAAGAGCACCTTTAGGAGATAAGAGGGGAAAAAATGAGTATGAATGCATTTCACATTTAACACTGAAGTGGTCATGCTCGGAAGCATTGACCCTGCTCTTAAACCATCCAAGCAATGAGGTCTGAATTCAGGCTTTAAAGGATTGATAAAAAAAAAAATCTCAAGTTTTCATTAAAAATTGCTTCACCTTGTTTTCATATGGAAACTTGGGGTTGACTTAAAAGCACCTCCTGAAAGCCAAACGCACCTCTCCCTCCAGATAAACCAGGATAAACGTAAAAAGCAGCAGGAAGGAAGAGATGAGGGAGGACGATGTTCTCCCCATGTGTCGTTTAAAAGAGAAGTATTTCACCAGCAGCACAGCCTGAGGTTCAGGGCATGCGTGTACCCAGAAAATGCTACTTGGATGAATTACACAATCCTGAATCCAAGTTCTGAAAAGGCAAAATGTCGAAGACCAAAGACCAAGGCAAAAGACCACTGTGAAAGAAAGATTTTGTAACTTCTCAAACATTCAAAAATTGCTGAAATGGTTTCATATAGGACTCATGTTTTAGTGAGCACTGCCAGAACAAACAAACACGACCACCCAAGTCAGACAACTCCACAGCTCTGTACAAAGCACAGTGTCACCCCCAGAGCAACGACACCCAGCGCATACTGATGCCGGGCAAATTTAACTCCCATGTTCAAAGCCCTGAAGTTTCAGGAGTGATTTTTATTTCCCCAGACTCCTGAGAGGTTCCTTGGGATAATCGGGGTGTTAGTGTTAAAGACGACTGGGCAGCCGTGTGCTGCCTCGCACATGGCATTCCTTCTTACCGAAATGGTACAATGTGCACAGGACGGCTCAAGAATTATAACACTTACTGAACTAACAAATGCAAGCTGACTTTTTCACAGTATGACACACATTTTATAAAGGTATTTCAAGAACTACCCTGGAAAAATGGCAGCACATTTTTCATAACGTTTTAAGAGTTCAAGTAAGAGAAGGCTGAAAGCAGAGCCCTGCAGCATACAGCGCTCATCGCCTCTCACAGTGAGCCAGGAAAACGAGATGCTGATGAAGCTGCATCCTAAGTCACAGCAGAAATCTCTTCTCACTGTGGTTAAGAAAACAAGAAAACAGATCTTCACACTCCAAGCAAATGCTTCTCCTTGTCTTGGATTTACCTCCTATAACAAATTTCCACATTTTTGCCCCTAGAGGGGGCACATTCACTTGCAAGACTACCCATCCTTTTGTACTTGGAAATGTTTGAAGAGGAGCCAAGTCCTTGAGCTACAGAATATTTAAAAAACTCTTTGACTCGGCAATTCTGCACACAACACCCAACTGCTCCTTGTTAGAAACTAAGGGTCGTTTTTTTAGTTGGAGATTTTTTCATGCTGACAGTGAGTTCTCTTAAACTTTGCTGTTTGATCAGCAAAATTACTGCAATATAAAATTATAACTTGGGGACATATTGTGTCACTCAGCGCACCGACACAGCAGCATCTTGTGCTGGAAATCATCTTTTTTTTCAAACAGAAGCCCCCCCCATCAACACAAAGATAATCTTTGTTGATGAGAACACACAGAGGAAATCTTTGGCTAAAAGCTCAATGGTTTAAGTGCAGCTGCTTTTGGAGGCTTTTCTGTTTGTACAGGTAGCACCATGGCTGCTGTGCCCTGAGGTTTATTGAGAAAACAAAACAAAAAAGGAAATCCAGAAAAATATAGTTATACCACTCATTACAGTCTTGTATCATTTATGAATCTCAGAGCAAATGAGCTTTTATCAAAACTGTATTGGATCCGTACCTTTCATGGTACTTTGTGATTTACAGACCAAGGCCTGAAGTTCCCATACTTCAGTTTTGGTTTACAATGTTCATTTCATTCCGTATGTCTGATCTACTTAGTACATGTCATAGTACTAAATTCTGGATCACAGTTCACAGAAACAAGTAGATGTAGTTTCTTGCTAAAAAAAATAGGAAAAAAGAAAAATACAAACTTCATCAGCCTTTACATTTATTAAGAACAGCTAAACTTGTACTTCTTTAAAAGCTCCTATTTTAGAATAGTATATCAAAGAGTTAATTTTACATACAATGGAGTAAGCTTGCTAAGGAATTTCTTCATCATTTATATCCCTGCCCAGCTGAACTAACATCAAGGTCAAACCATATGCTATAAACACTGGGTTGCTTAATCATAATCAGATAAGCAATAATAAAAAAAATCCTCTGAAACAGCAGCTAACTTGGAGGTCTTTAAAAAAAAAAAAAAAAAGACAGACACAGTAGAGGAAACTTCTTGCCAATAAAAACTGCACAGTCCCATCCCAGGCTGAGAAATGGTTTATAACAAATGGTTAACATAATAACAGGTTACCATAAACCTCACCGGTAATCCCATTCTTCCACTCGTACTGGTAGGAAAATTCCCTAAGACTCTTGAGTCCTATTACCTACCACTCAATGCCTTTCAAGACTGGATATACCGATTAAAGCACAGAAGACAACTACTGCGAGCGGAAGAGACGTTATGACGGCATCACCTCCTTACCAGCACGCCGCGCCCGTGAAGGCCAAGCCGGAGCTCCAAAGAGGAGCTCAAGAGTTGGTCCTCACCTCCAAAGAAACACGGAGCTGTGCACACACAGCCCAGCCCTCTTCAGCCAGCTGATTCCCACTGGGCTTTACGAGGCTTTTGGTTTAAGTGGTCTTTGGAGAGGGTCAGGCTCTGCTACAACCTTCAGTGTGCTGTAAATGGCAACAAACTCAAAGGCAGAGCACGAAGGGTGTCACGTCAGTTGGAGTTCAAAAGCGAAACGATGGCTGAACGCATTAACCAGAAGGCGCGGGGAGCACAGAGCTTTTCTAAGCGATCGATGCAGAAAAATGCAAGCTATCGCAGAGGAAGGGAGAAACCTGCAGCCACCCCAGCAAGGCCTATCTCACCAGCCAGATGGCAGCTCTTCACCGCGCCATTCGCTGCAGCCTCCCTTCACGCAGCGCAAAGCATGCAGGAAATTAAACATCCAAACTACAAAACCCTTTGTAATTTTGCTGCTATAATTGAAAACCATGTTTCCGATCCTTCCTGCAAGATACATCAGCTTGGGCCGCAAAAGTTATTCAGCAGGTAGGGGCACTAGAAGAATGTCAAGCTTTTACGAGAAAACACACAGAAAGATGAAAAATAGTAAATTTTTTTTTCTAGGTTTCCCCGTTGCCTAGGCAACCAGGGTCCTCACCAGCCATATGGCATAGGAAGGATGCAGCCTCCCTTAAACCAGAGAAGGAAAAAGCAACGCAAACAGAGGTTTTGCAGGTCAGGCAGGCAGCCCCACGAGCAGGGAGGGTGCTCGGACCCGTGCGAGGACAGCCCTCCCGCAGCCACGTTTCCCCTTCCCTGCTTCCCCTTCCTCCCCCAGACGCTGCAGCTGGACGCTGCATCAGGCAACCGAAGCAGGTTCAGATGCCAAAGCCCCGAGGTGAGTCGGTACTCTGAATTCTCACTGCTGGATCATACAAAGAAACCACGTAGAAGGGGCGGATTTCAGGAAGAAAGCAGCAGCAGAGCCGGTGGGCTGGCATGCGGGTCTAGGTGGAGGATTCTGTACTGGACAGGGAAGACCGAGATGTTATAAAGAGATCTTACAACAATATTATGGAGAGGACAAATTAAGCGCATCAATACTTCATATATTTGAGTATTCGTTGCGTATTTAAATACTCCTCTAGATGTTGACATGACTTTATTAAACTCAGACAGAAAACATCCTGGTAGCAACATAGAGAACTGCCTTTGAGGAAAGCCAATGACAGAACCAACCCAAACCCTAATCCTCTCCAACTTTCTACCATTCAGAGTTAAAGTGCCATGGCATGTGATCTAAGGAGTGCTTTCAGGATCTCATTGACCGATTCATTATTCTAAGAATTTCCCAGTTAAAGACTTGCACTGTCAGGTAAGCTCTAGAGTCATTCAGTATCAATACTGCAACACAGTTACGGAGTTAACTTTATAGGCTTGATTCAAATCAGAACAGAAGATACAATACTAGAACCATTGCAGATGCAATTATTTTAGTATTTCAAAAGTAATATCAGCTTGGAGACCGGGAAGTTCTGGAAGGACCTGTGAGGCAGAGCTTCTTTTTGGTTGTTAACCAGGTGGGAACCAGCTTGAGAGTTTCAGGTGGAAAAATAAGCAGATGTGATCATCAAGCATACAGAATTGGAACATTTTGAAATTAGTTGCCCTGCAGGCCATTTGTTTTACTAAAATTATTAGTAGGGAGATATTTCTCTGGATTGGTAAAGGAAAACCCTAAGAAATGGACTGGCTGAGATACTGCTTCCACCCGTAAGCAGTTCACAGTTTGGACTTACTTGTCCCTGCACGTGAAAGGACGAGCAATTTAAGAGATCTAAATGACACAAAGGTAAACATTTGCAGAAGTTATTGAAATCAGGCATATGTGACCACACTCACCCAAAACCCTAAAAGATTTTAATGCATTTTAATGGCATTTTGGCATTTCTTTAAAGCTGCATACCATTCTCTTCAGAAAAAGCAGTAAATTTCTTGTTTTCTGTTCATGATGTGCTTTCTATTTCTTTAAGATTTTGAGCAGTTTTGAGGAGGATTGCTCAGAAACACCCCAAATTTAAACACTGAGCAGATTTCCATCTCTTCTTCCCTTCCCCCAGACAGACTCGCTGCAGGAAGAAAAATTAAGATGGCAGAAAACAAAATCTAGCATTGCAATGAGACTAGCTAATTTAAGGAGCTTAAGTGTCTGTGTATAACACATTTGCTCAAGGAACAGCTGGTTCATTTGTTTTTCTTACTGAAAAGCTCCATTTCAAAACCAAGCTGAGCCTGGATTGCTGAATAAATTGGCAAGAGTAGAGCTTTCACCTGTAGACTACTGGTTTGAATCCAGTATAAGTCACTAATGCCTAAAACTCATTATAAGCATCAGAAAACAAGTGGGTCTTCTTCTGGA